TCAGCACATAAAATTTTAGGGAAAGAAAATGTGTGGTATCTCAGTTTGAAGTATGGAAAGTTCGTGAATTCAAAAAATACCTACGAAGAATCAATTTTTATTTCATCTCGAGGAGATAAATAAAGACATACAACTTGCCAAATGCAGCATTCTATATTATTCCACTCGACTAATTTTAGTTAAATAAGAGTTACTTTAAAACAAAACACAAATATTTTATGTTTAATTACCATACAAATGTGAATAAATCTCTAAATCAAATATCAAGACTAATAACTATTCCTCACCTCCTAACACTTTTTATATTTCAAGTCGAAATAATTTTATTATATGACATTTCACGTAACTTTTTTGTGGTCAGGAACTTATAAGAGTAGTCATTTTTAAAATGTTTGATCATTTTTAGGATTAATGATTAATCTCACAAGTCCAAACAATACCTTTTAACATGTTTTATTCTCACTTGCATATTATATAATCCCAAAAATCATTGCCTCTAAAAAATAACTCCTCCACACTAACAATTCACATTTTTTAAATAAGGACAAAAATGTAAATTACATTCAAAAAATCTCAACCATTCCTTTTATATGAAATATCCTATTGTCATTAACAATTTGTATTACATGCACCACCTAACAACATACTTTATTTTGCTTTTACATGTATGAAGCATCTAAGATGTTGCTTCGTGCTAGAATTTTCCAAACATGAAGTGGAAATTGTTGAACACATTGTATTGTAAGTAGTAAGTTCACACACATGCACACATAAATTTGTGTGTGAACACAATCATGCAACTACAGATAGAAATGTTAATGCCAAGAAACTTAATTCGTTCTTGAAGTGAATGTTAGGCAACAAGAAAAAAGGCTAAATTGTTGTATTCTTTAAAAAAAATTTAATGAAAAATTGTCCTTTAAAAGGTAACCTTATGAGCGTTCAAAACTTAAGTTAATTTATGAAATCAATTTTTGAGCAAGTTATTCTCTCAACAGACTGTACAACGATATATGTAATATGTAGTAAGGTAAATAAAGTAAGAGGATAGAGTTAGAGAAATTTCACACAGAGATTTTATACTGGTTCACCTTAATTTGGGCTACATCTTGTCCTCATACAAACTTGTGAGATTTTCATCTATCACAATTAATTGTTGTTCAAGTTACAACTCTAGCCACCTACTGATATAGTCACTCCATTACATAGCTACCTACTATTAGGGATTCACACTCAGCAACCTGTTGAGATTTCACACTCAACAACTTGTTGAGACGCCCAACCTCATAGTCACCTGCCATGAGAATACACAACCACTTGTTGTGATTCCTTTCCTTCCTTACTACACCTCTACAACTCAAATCTGGGTAGGATAAGTTCTTTATAAAAATGAGTTTGTGTATCCTAACACTCCACTAAGGTTGTAATAGATTTTCCTAACTAGAGCTTCCACTAAGGAAGATACACACTTTGTTCATCTATTACAAGACTGACACAAATGCATAAGTGGAGTTCTTTGAATAATCAAAATATGAAACAAAGATTACAACTTTGGTAACTTGTGTTTTGATTACTCATTTTTATCTTGCTTGTTTAAAATATGTAGCCTTGGTCTTCCTTTTATAACCATCAAAATACATCCATCATGGGTAACTTAGTTTTTAAGTAGTGTTAACCTCGGTTGTAGTTTCCTTTTCTGGTGTTGTCAGCTTTTCCTTCAGATTTTGTTACCTTCTAAGTAAACATTCTCTTCAAATCTTCTAAGTAGAGACTTCAATAACAATCTTTTGAGAAATTGAGTTTTAATTGAAACTTTTAGATGAATGGTTCAAAGAATTGGTCTCCTAAGCCAAGTCTCCAAGGCATTTCTTCTAAGAGGAAATGTTTATCTAGAACCTCTTTGATCAATTGACACTAAGTGCTCATTAAACAGCCAAAACATTGGTGCTATAAGACAGTTCAATAAGATTAAATGCTATCTGTTGAAACTTTTGAATTGCAATACTTTGTCAACCTTCTGAGTAATAAACAAAACAATTATGAAATACTTGAACAAAATTGTTAGTATCCACGTGAGAACTCTTTCATATTAAAACTTTAAATTAAAAGTTTGTCATTATTAAAACACCTATTAAGTCATCATTAAATAATTGTCTTAACAACCCCTTTATAGTAGGCATGACAAAACGAACCTTAGTTCGTGCCCCGTGGGTTAGTTCGTTGGCCCACCAAAAATTGGCGGGTCAAGCTGGGTTAGTCTACCAAGCCACCTATTATTATTATTATTATTATTATTATTATTATTATTATTATTATTATTATTATCATTATACATTTAATGTTAAGTTTAAATATGTTGGATCGATCGCTTACCACTAGGCCAAAAACTATAGCTGATAGTCAGGGCGCAACTCTTTTTACTTAAGAGCGCAGCAGCCCAAGCGCCATGATTCGACAGTGACTTGGCCTACCTAGCCTCCG